ACACGGGTACACTTTGCTTACAAGGAGAGGTCCTTAAGGATAAAATGCCTATGAGATACTCCCAGGCGTAAAAGGAAGTCGCTCTCAGGGCATATGACCTGTACAATTCAACTGAACTCTGCCCCTTCAAGAGCACTTTGTCGTGAGAGTCGAAGGCAGCTGTAGCAGCCATGGTCGGTTCTGAATTAGTAACGCCTGGGAATACGACTGACGCCATTTTCATTTTCCCAGCCTGCCATAATGTACTCAATAATCCTTTCCCATTAGTTTTCCTCCTTGCTTAAAAAACATGCGGATTCGTTGCAGACGAGACTCGCCGCGGTTGGCGCCATGGCAGTTTTCCATACAGATTTCCGGTTTTCGATTTTCGGTTCTCACGGCCCCACATGAGTCGCGCCCCCGTGAGAAACCGCGCATGTGGAGAGCAGCCCTCTCGATAGCCGGGTAATTACCCTGTTTACTCAAGGAAAACAGGGTGATTTTTTAGTACTACCCTGTTCTCTACGCATCCAGATTTGAAGTACATGTCCACTAGCAGACTAGGCAACAACATTCCACTTCCGATTTCCGAGTAGTGGAATGTATCACCCTGTAACATCCGTCTGTAAGGCCTGGTTACCCAGCTAGAAACCCCTCTTCTCCGTTGAGGGATTCGGGCAAAACCGCTCCCGAAATCCCAAGTGGCCCGTTTGGGTTTTCGGCAAGCGCGCCAGACCCTGATAGGATGTTGCAGCTTCCCCAACCAAGCCTCTCAAACTCAAACTCGTTAACCCCCAACCAAGGCTCTCTGAACCAAACTCATTTCCCCCAAACATGCCTCTGAACCAAACTCACTCCCCCCAACCGAGCCCCTCAGCCTAACTCGTTCCTTCCAATGAAGCCTCTCTCAGCCAAACTCGCTTCCCCAAAGAGGTTTGGTTGGGGAAAACGTGTTTTCCTGGACCACGCCTCTGTGCTTCATATAAGCGGGGCATTTGTACCTGTGGGATGGCGTTTTTTTTTTTTTTTTTTTGTAGTAGGCAATAAATTGAAGTGGCGGTTGCACTTGTAGTCAATCGTTTGGGTTTTTTTCAGCACAATTTGGCTTATAATAACATTCAGAACTTGTAGATTAAATTGGTGAAAAGAAAAGTTCAGTGCACTTCAAAGAAGTGAACGCGAAATTGAAACCCTGCACATGCAGGGAAACCGCCGAAACTGCCTTGCAAAAACAGTCAAATGTTTTTGGGTTACCCAGCTTGGACGAGGTGGTTGCGCGACAAACTCGGATTCTGCAGGGGGGCCTTAGAGGACATCGAGAGGCCTGGTGGAGAGACAGTCGCGTTTGTTCATAAAGCATGATGATGGCGGTTGCGCGTTACAGCTTCGCTGTACACCTAGCCAGCGGTTATCTGACACCCTGAAACTGGGCGGCAGAATAATTTTTGTTTCCACCCTGACCATTTCTGAGTGCGTAGACAGTACCCCCTTGTCCCTACGGCCTAAGCTTGGCAGACTCCACGCGGACGAAAACTTTGAGCACTGCCTAAGCTGACGTCGGGTTTCCTGACTCGAGAAACGCTAAATCGAGCAGTAGAAAGCGTTTTGTATAGAATTCCAAGTTCAAATTGTTTTCAAGGGTATCCGGATCTGGTCTTCAGGAGGTGCTTTCGGAGGGTGAATACCCTCTCAGCGGCACCCCCTCTGAAAATACTGGGTGTGAAAATACCGCGGGCTAGTGTACCTCAGACCCATGCACGAGCGAATGACACGTGCGAGTGTCATGCGCCAACGACACAAGCGGCGAACGGCAGGGTTCCTTTGCAGAATTCTAGAAAAGAACGGCACGGTTTGCATCGTACAGCCACGAGGGCGGCAGGCGACCGTTATTTCGAGTACCAATCGTGGCTCTTCTTTGAAGGAGCTCGACTCATCAGGAACCCTCATCTCTCCCCAGGAGTAGCACTCCTAAGGCGGCTTACTACTTCTGCCTGTAAACTTGCGTGTGAAACAGTCACTTGCCTGTCACTACTACTTGCAACAGTTCGATCCCTGCGTCGTCACTCCTCGCTCGAGATACTCTCCGTGGTGTTACTGCTCGCGAAAGAGAATCTCCATTGTGTTACTACTGTACCTCTTTAGTCAGCGGGTGGCCCCTCAGCACTCCTCCCATGGCGGCTATTGGTCCCTCGGCTATCGGTAGAAGCAGAGTGCTCCTTGCCGTTTGCGTTCTGCTCGCCTTGCTTGTCCTCCCTGCAGGTTCGTGTACTAACGTCCCAATATGTTTAATTTATTCCAAACCATGAGAGTTCTGTTTGCTAATCACTTATGGCTGTCGTCATACATCACACCATTTTCACATACTCGTGGGCATTGGAGTTGGTTCATTCTCCACTGCGGACAAATCACGCCAGCCTTTTCCTGTCCCTCCCCCTTCCCGCCCTGTTGGTGTCGGGCAGTTGCCCCCAATACTTAGCCGTTCACTGCATCTGTTTGTATCGCCCTTTCTCCTCCCCTCTCATGTGCAGCTGTGGCTGCGCCTGCGCCTTCCCCCCCCCCCCCCCCTTCCCCATCCCAGCCTTTCCCCCTTTCCCCCCCCCGCACCCAATCCTTTCCCCTTACTCCCCTTCCCCCACCCATTCACCCTATTCCCCTTACCTCCTCCCTCCTCCCCCCTCTCCCCCTCCCCCTCCCGCTCCCCCCCCCCAGTCTCTAACCCTAGTGCACCTGTTTTTCTAACCCTTTCTCTTCCTCCACCCTTGCAGCAGTGGCTGCGCCTGCAGCACCAGCAGGTGTAACATCCGCTCCCCTCCCTTCCCCCCCTACCTTTCCCTCTCCCTTCCCCTCCCTTCCCTAATCCTGGTGCATTTTTTTCCTAATCCGCTCTCTTCCCCTCTTTCCCCCCCCCCTCTCCACCCACCCCCCCCTCCTCCCCCCCTGTGCAGCAGTGGCTGCGCCTGCACCGCCAGGCGGAGGCTTCCCGCCCCCCCCTCCAGGCCCAGGCTTCCCGCCCCCCCCTCCAGGCCCGGGCGGCGCAACCCCCCCCGCGCCCTCCAACTGTGCAGTCAAGCAGCGGCGCATTTGCCCCTGGTTCTGTGACAGGGATGACAATAACGGGGATGGGCCGTGCCTGTTGAAGAAGGCTTGTCCCCAGGGGCAGATCTGCATCCCCTTTGTAAGGAGCTGCAAGGGGTACAAGTGCGTCAAGATATTCCCTGGAAGCAAATAGGAACTAGAACTTAGCAAACATTGGAAACCTTTTGTCATGTTGTGGTAGATTTGGAAGTATTGTCCCTGCCTCCCCCAGGTATCCTCAGGTTTGTGCGAAAGACCACCTGACAAATTACGCAGTGCACCCCCTTACGTGACTACACCACCTTGTGCTGCTATGGGTGCATTGATTCCATTGATTGCTTTGCTGGCGCCTCCCTTGCCCTCTGCCCCCAGTGCTGAGTGCCTGCCTTTGGACATAGATTTTAGTGTTAGAATGCTAGAATGAACTAGAATGTGAGTACAGGCAAATATAACCCAGCGAGTTGTACCCCAGTGCAAACCTATACAGCCTACAGTAACAAACTAAGGTATTTTGTTCAAATTAGAAGGGCGCTGTGTACAGTCTAGGTCTCGACGACACGACGGTTTGGCATACGCTTGTAATCAAATACAAGTTATAAGCCCAGGGCTTATCTAAGGGATTTTATGGAGAACGAATTTGAGCACATAAAAATGTGTTAGAATACGTGAATGATTACTAGAAGGAGAGACCTAGACCATATACCTGTTGAGTTGTACTCACCAGAAGCACACAGCTCAGGGTGGCACTACTAGTCCAACCACTGAGTCAAGGGTCCGGAGACCAGTCAGCAAGAGTACAAACAAGACTAAAGCAAGCCAGGGCGGCACTACTAGTCCAGCCACTGGAGGTAAGGCCACAAGGCCAGTCAGACAGGTATATATAGTAGAGAGTAAACAATCATGGCCCTAGCAAATGAGAAGCTACAGGAACAAGACCAAGCTGTACACAGTACCGCTGATGATCTTTAGGTGCAAGCGCCTTAGTAAAGATCTCAGCTGTGTTGGCACCGGAGGCCAAGTGAACTACACGGGCCTGGCGACGCTGCTGTAACTCGCGCAGGAGGAAGTACCGCAGCTGGATATGCTTCGCTCTGCCCTCAAGCCGAGGCTCCTGACACAGGAGGATCATGGCCCTGTTGTCAGCGTACAGGGCCGGGGCAGAGCTAGGCCGCTCACCTAAGTCAGTGAGCAAGAAGGTCAGCCAGCGGAGCTCCTGTGCCGCCATGGCACCGCCGTAGATCTCAGCCTCATAGGTGGACTGGGCAACAGACGACGAGCGAGTGGATCTCCAAGAGATAGCACCTGAACCAAGGCTAAAACAGTAGCCCTGAGAAGACCAGGCGGCGGCTGCGACAGCGGCTGCGACGGCGGCGGCGGTGGCGGCTGCGACGGCGGCTGCGACTGTGGCGGCGGCGGCGGCGGCGACGACAACGGCGGCGGTTGCGACACCGGAGGCGGAGACACCAGTGAAGGGGGGCGCGGCAAAGGCGGGGCGGGGGGACCACCAGAGTCAGCAGACTCCTCAACCGGGACAACTGACGGGAGGGGAGTGACATGGGAGACACCAGACGGGGCAGGACGCAGCGGGAGGGGAAGAGGGGCTACCAGGGGAGAGGGGGCAAGGAACAGGGGGGGGGAAACCGGGAGACCTCGGTGAGGGAAGCGACGGTAGAAGGAAACAGACTCAGCAAAGGTGACGTCACGAGAGTGGAGGAAGCGGTGAGACTGCGGGTGGTAGAAGAGCTAGTCAGACGAGTCCAGGGGGAAACCAAGGAAGACACTGGGGAGGGTGCGGGTAGTGAGATTGTCCGTGCCAGAGGCACGAACGTGAGCAAGGCAGCCCCAGACGTGGAACGCAGATGCGTCACCGGAGGACCCGGTCCAAAGGAGGGTCGGCGAAACCTGCGGCCGCTGGGAGCGTTGCCACAGGTTAAGCTGGTGAGCGGCGTAGCGAACGGCGAACGGCCACAGAAAATGGGGTGCACCGGCTTGGATCATGGAGGTACGAGCCACCTCCATGACCAAGCCGATGCGGCGCTCAGCAACCCCATTCTGCTGTGGCGAGTCCGGCAAGATGTACGACAGGGTGATGCCCTCCGCACGACAGAACTGTCCAAGCCGACCAGAAGCGAACTCTTCGCCACGGTCAGAGTGGAGACACAACACGGGGAGACCGCGATGAAGACGCGCAGCCACAACCCACGGGAGAAGAACGTCGGGCACATCGGTCTTCCGCTCCAGGGGAAACACCGTGGTGTAGCGCGTGTAGTCGTCGACCATCACAAGAAAGTAGCGCTCGCCACACGGTCCGGGGACGGGGGCTGGGCCCCAAACGTCCAGGTGCAGGGTCTGAAGGGGGGCAGTAGCATGGCGAAGCGAGGAGGAGTGAGGGGCACGGCGGAGCCGGCCCTCGACGCAGGGTGTGCACGGTGGAGCAGGCGAGAGGGGAAGGGCGGGGAGCGACGCGGGGAGGCCTAAGACAAGACCGTACCGGGACATGTGACGCAGACGCGGGAGTGCAGGGTGACCTAGGCGGTGGTGCCACAAAAGGGACGGGTGAGTGAGAGACCGACACGAGCAAGCTGCAGCGACCTGGGAGGATGCACCAACCGGGGGGGAAGCGGTGTCTAGGGTGAACAGTCCGGACACCGGGTCCCGGGGGAACGTAGCAAGTGGGGAACCTGAGACAGCCTCAGAACAGACTGTGAACCGCTCGTGCCCAGGGAATGTAGTGGTGACACCGAGGTCCTGAAGACAGCCGACAGCAACCAGATTCCTCGAGAACGAGGGAACGTGGAGGCCTGTAAGAGAGCCCGAGGGAACTGCTGGATAGGGAAGGGACGTGGAACTGCGAGCGACGACGGGACCAGCAGAGGGGTCAACGAGAGAGACAACAGCAGGCGCAGCAAGCAGCGTAAGCGTGGAGTAGTCGCGGAAGAAACAGGCAGAAGCACCGGAGTCAAGAGTGAAGGACAGCGAGGCAGTGGCGGAGGCTGGGAACGGAGCCGGTGCAGAACCTAGGCTAGGCAAACTAGGCAGTCCTACGCCTGACACAGCAGGGGAGGCTAAGCTACACAAGGGTGAGACACCTAAACTAGAGTACACAGGATAATAAGATCCAGCAACACTAGAAGCGTCAGCATACAAAGCATGCAAAGCAGCACCTATCTGATCCATATCTAACTCAAAGATCGGCATGCCCTGGCGAAGCAGGCTGTGCCAGTCGGGGAGGTCCGGGGCCGGGCCAAAGCGACGACGAAAGAGATCGTCGAGGCGGCGGAAACAGCGGGCGGTCGGGTGCGGGCGGCGGCACAGAGTGCCGCGGAGAGGCCCGGTCTGAAGCTGGTACTGGCAGGTCACAGCACTGGAGCTGCCGGTAGACGCCAAGCTGCGCGGGCCACCACCTCGGCCACCACCGCCAGAGGTACCGGGCAAACCAGGTGGGAGACGAGCCCACGGCTGCGACGGCTGCTGCGGGGACGGCGGCGGCTGCTGCTGGGGCTGCTCCGGCTGTGAAGGCGACTGCGTCTGCTCCTGCCCACCGGTGGTAGTCCCCTCAGGTGGACTACCGTCACCACCACCACTACCACCACCACTAGTGCCACCACCACGACCTCCCTGGCGGCCACGGCCACCGCGGCGCGGACGCTGCTGCGGGTGGACCGCAGCAGCTGTCTCGGTAAGAGGGGTCGCAGTGGCGACCGCAGCCGAAACGTCAGTAAACGTGCACTAGGAGGGGGCACAGCCGTGAAAGATAGAGACTGCAGGCGCACCGCTCGACTGAGCGATAGTGCGCTGGCGCGTCTCGATCTCGGTGAGGGTGTCGACAAAGGCGGTCAGTGTGAGGTCACCCGGGTGCTGGCTAAGGAAGCGGTCGCGGGCACTAGCTAGGCGGTCCGGCAGGCGCATGGCGATAAAATAGAGGGTCATGCAGAATGGGGAGGGGGGGAGCGCAGTGAGCTGGGCAGCAGTGCTGGCAGTGCGATAGCGAGTCTCTAGGGCACGCAAGTGAGTTGCAAAGTCTGCAACAGTAGGGAAGGCAGCAAGGTCTGGGAACAGCATCGAGAAGAGCAGGCGGCCGGCAGAAGCGGATGCAGGTGTGGAATAGCGAGCAACAACAGCGTCTAAATAAGCTTTGGCCGTATCAACTGTAGCGAAATGCGAGCGCTCAGACACAGGGAGGGCGTGACTGATAGCAACCTGAGCTACTGCATCGCGTGAGTCCCAGACCGCACAGGCAAGCGCGGCAGTAGAGAAAGCCTCACTCTCAGCGGAGGTGGGGTCAGCAGGGAGGGGAGCAGGTGCAGGGGGGCGGGGGAGCAAGCCATCAGCATGAACAACCAGCGAGTGCCCATCCTGGCGCTGACCTGTAAGCTGACGGCGGAGATCGGAGAGCCAGGCGACGAAGTCTACCGCGTGGCCCTCAGCGTCCAGGCGGAGCACAAAGTCAGCCATCGTGCAGGGTCAGTGACACAGCTCCTCAGCGACACAGCGGCACAGCTCCACAGCTCGGTAGGAGCACAGCGGCATGGGGACACGGCGGCAGCACTCTCCAGTAGGGCGGCTGCGGGGCGCCCCGGCGTGGGCTAGCAGAGGACACGTGGCCCGAGGTGGCACGGCAGGCCGAGCAGGCACGAGGAGGGGCCAGGCGGGCAGGAGGAGGGGCCGGGCTGGCGCTGAAAACCGGGCAGGCGTGACAGGGCCGGGCTGGCGCTAGGAGGGGCCGGGCGGGCGCACTGGGACTGGCGGGCGGTAGGAGAGGCCGGGCGGCGCTAGGAAGAGGCCGGGCAGGTGCTGCTGGGGCCGGCTAGGAGCGGGCTCGACGGTCAGGGGGCCGGCCAGGAGTGGGCGCGACGGCCAGTGGGGCCAGCTAGGGGCGGGCGCGAACGGCCAGAGGGCCGGCTAGGAGCGGGCGCGAACGGCCAGGGGGCCAGCTGAGGGCGGACGCGACGGCCAGGGGGGCCAGCTAGGAGCGGGCGCAACGGCCAGTGGGGCCAGTTAGGGGCGGGCGCGACGGCCACGGGGCCGGCTAGGAGCGGGCGCAAACGGCCAGGGGGCCAGCTGAGGGCGGACGCGACGGCCAGGGGGCCAGCTAGGGGCGGACGCGACGGCCAGGGGGCCAGCTAGGGGCGGACGCGACGGCCAGGGGGCCAGCTGAGGGCGGACGCGACGGCCAGGGGGCCGACTAGGGGCGGACGCGACGGCCAGGGGGCCGACTAGGGGTGGACGCGACGGTCAAGGGGCCGACTAGGGGCGAACGCGACGGCCAGGGGGCCGACTAGGGGCGGACGCGACGGCCAGGGGGCCAGCTAGGGGTGAACGCGACGGCCAGAGGGCCGGCTAGGGGCAGACGCGACGGCCAGGGGGCCGACTAGGGGCGGACGCGACGGCCAAGG